CAAACTCCCCCTGATTGCCTCTCCCCGAAGCCCGGCACTCGGTCACTGGAAAGGTCGATCTAGAGAACTGCACCCTGAGGCTACTGAGGGTTATAGCCCCTCTGCCTCCTGCCATTCATCCTGACCATACCTGGCTCCTCTGGAGCCCCCTGCGTCTTCCTCCTCTTCCTGCATCAAATGTTTCCATATGAGAAGCAGCATCCTACCAGGTGTCTATACTCCTCTGATATAAGAACCCAAAGCTCTCAACTTGAGGCCCCGCCTCAACTTCTGCTCATAACTCATAGCAACGCGTTCCCTCGGACGCCACCAGTTCCGGTGCAAACCTGATAAGAACTGGTAAAGTAGCCTCAAACTCGGACCACTGAACAGCCGCTGCTGTTAAGCGGCTAAACTGATCCTCAAGCTTTCTCCCTAGTTGCTGCATGACAAAACCTCTCCTGAATACAATTTACAACGCCTTCCCATTGTACCACCAACCCAAGCCTTCTCGTACTTCCACCATTGACTCCGAATCTCCCTTCAGTTGGAAGGATTGCCAAGGTCACTTTCAGTGCTCCTCCTCTGATGCCAAGCATCTCGAACGTCTTATCTCATTTTGCTCTAGCCACTCATCAGCCTCAGTGGCTCCTTCGGATCCCCGATAAAATCCCGGATTAGACCCGGAAAAACTCCCTTTCAAGAAGAAAGGCCCTGCCTCAGCTGCCCTGATTCCCAGCTCTAAGAATACCCCAAGGCCTCCTGCTATCTCTCTGGCCAAAGCACCCATGGCCCTGCTGACCCATCTGGCTTCGGCACATTGCCTGACCAACTCCCTCCGCCACTGCCGAACCTCCTCCGGTAATGATACTTCCTGCCTCGCAGGCCTATCCCAACGCCTAGCAACCTCTTTCCTCGTCCTGACAATCCTAATAAAGTAACACAGCACTTAGCACATTCCACAAATGTGCCGAAACCTAAAACACTCACGTCTAATGCATGGACAGACTGTAATTCAACTCCACATAAGCGACATAAACACATAAGCCTTACGAATGTTCATTCCGGATACATCGGAAAGTCCTCGGAGGCCTTAACTACTGAGTTCCACAGTTAGAAACAGCATTGGATCAAGTGCTTTTCCAAAAGATCCCAACATAGAAATCCAAGATCCAATCAACCACCTAGAAACTACATTCCATACCCACATAGTCATCATAAGCTCGTCTATCAATAAGCACATAGCATATGAACACTAATCTAAGTCTCTATCAAGCGAGACAACCCTCAATTGTGATCCAAATACCTTCCAACGTACCCAAAGTATTCGAACCCGGTACGCTCTGATACCAGTTGTAATCGCCAGCCTCAAAATTAACAAACATTAAACCCACCAATATACATATGAAATAACCAACATTCTTCTATTTTCATCGAGTTTCATTACCAAGTATTAACATGTTATACAAAAAAGCAAATGCCTATGGCTTACAGCTTCCCAAGTCAGACACTTGGTTACACAAAAGAGTACTAACTCATACACAATTAAGCCCTTGGCTGAATTTACATGTTAATACAATCAAAAAGTAAAACGACAAAAGTGTGCCCACTCTATAGCCTCCAAGCTATTCCTTGGAGGTGGCATGCTACCTGTACCTGAAAATGATATCCCATAATAGGGTGAAGCCCAACAGCCCAGTAAAATACACTAAACCACCATGAACAATGACTAAAAGATTAGCAATTTGATAGATGGCCAACTAACTAATACTATCCACATAAATCATACTTTATGTCATACGACTTAAGAGTCATTACTTTCATTTTCCCTTTTTCAACAGATAAGCTATTTCTATCTCATTTTCAACGATTATGTATAAAACTGTATTCCCACATTCACAGATAAGGCTAGGAGCTATATCCACATTCTCAACAGATATGTATAAATATATATCCCCACATTCACAGATAAGCATATAAGCTGTTCCAGAACACTTCACAAAGATAAGCAATGAGCTCTATCTTCACTTCTCTAGAACAATGCATATGAGCTGCAATCTACGGAGTTATCCCTATCTTCTCCCAATACTGATCCGGTTTAGAGGTACAATCCCCCATCTTCCCCTTAAACCGCGGAGTACATCCCCCATCTCCTCCTCACACATATACGTATACTAACCACATTGGTTCTATATACAATCACTCAATACATAACAGTAAATGTATTCCTACTCAACCGTCAAGTCCCATGACACATTCCATTGATTAGTTTTAGTTTGCCTAATCAATCATGCATTTGTCTACAACCAATCACGACTATCCTCCACCGTAACCAAAGCAGTTTATCTTTCTTCTAAACAGAAAATAAATGCACAATGGATATTTCAAGTCAACATTTCATTCCGGTGAGTGAACAAATAATCAATCAACACCTTTAACCCCATAGATTCCCAATCCAACTATTCCATTTCAATTTCCTCATTCTCACAATTAATTATCCCAATTTAATCAAACAAAGTAATTAGTCCATTTTTCCATAATAACAATTTCAATCCCTTAGGTCCCATTTTCATCAATTGATTCACATTTATTCCATTCTCTATGCAAACATACATATCCAGGTTTATTATAATTAAAACCCCAACTTTGTAAAATAACACAAAAGGCCCCAAACTTTCACAAAAATGTAACCAAACCCAACCCAACCATCTCAAAATACTAACATTAACGACAAAGATCCCATAGAGAGGATAGGATATCCCTACCTCGAATTTGAGCCAAAAGGAGATGAAGGCTCGAAGATCAACGTGCCTCCAAACCCAAAACTTTTTCAGAAGTTAATGAAGCTTCTCATGCCTCTATATCTTTTAACAAAGACCCTAGGCTAGATTCACACTCTAGGGAGATCAAAATCTTAGAGAGAGTGTAAGTAGAGAGAGAGAGTCCTCGGATCTAGGGTTTTTTAGAAAAAGGAAAGTGAAAAATCTGATGATCAAAAACGCTACTGTCAGCTGATAAAAACACGCTCGCTCGAGCGAAAGACTTTGTCGCTCGAGGCGACCAGACACAGAAAAAAACTCGCAGAAAGTGAAAAGTGATGTTCAAAAACGCTACTGTCCGCTGATATAAAACACGCTCGCTCGAGCGAAGACTTGGTCGCTCGAGCGAAGACTTGGTCGCTCGAGCGAAGACTTGGTCGCTCGAGCGAAGACTTGGTCGCTCGAGCGAAGACTTGGTCGCTCGAGCGAAGACTTGGTCGCTCGAGCGAAGACTTGGTCGCTCGAGCGAAGACTTGGTCGCTCGAGCGAAGACTTGGTCGCTCGAGCGAAGACTTGGTCGCTCGAGCGAAGACTTGGTCGCTCGAGCGAAGACTTGGTCGCTCGAGCGAAGACTTGGTCGCTCGAGCGAAGACTTGGTCGCTCGAGCGAAGACTTGGTCGCTCGAGCGAAGACTTGGTCGCTCGAGCGAAGACTTGGTCGCTCGAGCGAAGACTTGGTCGCTCGAGCGAAGACTTGGTCGCTCGAGCGAAGACTTGGTCGCTCGAGCGAAGACTTGGTCGCTCGAGCGAAGACTTGGTCGCTCGAGCGAAGACTTGGTCGCTCGAGCGAAGACTTGGTCGCTCGAGCGAAGACTTGGTCGCTCGAGCGAAGACTTGGTCGCTCGAGCGAAGACTTGGTCGCTCGAGCGAAGACTTGGTCGCTCGAGCGAAGACTTGGTCGCTCGAGCGAAGACTTGGTCGCTCGAGCGAAGACTTGGTCGCTCGAGCGAAGACTTGGTCGCTCGAGCGAAGACTTGGTCGCTCGAGCGAAGACTTGGTCGCTCGAGCGAAGACTTGGTCGCTCGAGCGAAGACTTGGTCGCTCGAGCGAAGACTTGGTCGCTCGAGCGAAGACTTGGTCGCTCGAGCGAAGACTTGGTCGCTCGAGCGAAGACTTGGTCGCTCGAGCGAAGACTTGGTCGCTCGAGCGAAGACTTGGTCGCTCGAGCGAAGACTTGGTCGCTCGAGCGAAGACTTGGTCGCTCGAGCGAAGACTTGGTCGCTCGAGCGACCAGACACAGAAAACTATCGCTCGAGCCAAGAAGCTCTCGCTCGAGCCAAAAACTCAAAAGTGCGCTCGAGCGAAAGAATGCTCGCTCGAGCCAACAACTCAAACCCTCAGGTCTGTAACCAGAAGCACGCTCGAGCGACAGACCTCTCGCTCGAGCGAAGAACAAACCAGACCGCTCGAGCCAAGAAAAGCTCGCTCGAGCCAAGAAATACAACTTTCAGGTCCAGAACCAGACGCAAGCGCTCGCTCGAGCGAAGCCACACTGGCTCGACCCAGCAGACACGAACTCAACTCTCGCTCGAGCGACCAACTCCTCGCTCGAGCGAAGGTCAAAAATCTGGGCAGCAACACTAGGCTCCCAAACACAACCAACCTGTAACAAACCTGCCCAACACATCCTACAACTCGATATACAAAGTAAAGAGGATGTAAACTAGATAATAAACCACTACCAACATCCACGGACACATGTCCGGATCACTGTACAACAAGGGTAAACCCGGGATCGCTATACTTACTCACTATCGTTGTCCCCAGAATTTTTTCATATCCCCTACATCTTTACAAACCCTCTCAATCTCACACCTCTACAAACTTCTTTTTATTGGCGAAGGGAATAATTGTATTGATCAAATCCAATACATAAAGTATAATTTGGGGACAAGCATCAATAACAGAGAGGAGAGTGTAGAGAAGATTCATATTTATAGGCAAACAATAGAAATGTTAGTCCCGTACAATTAATAAAACCCTACACATTGAATTACTAGTGAACTCTTGATTTCACAACCTAACCCAAAATACAGTATGGATCTTACAAAATTTGATACACGCACCCAACACTAATAATTGTAAACAAGACATGCACGTACCCAACGGTAGAATCCAACTCTTGTGAGTTTTCTGTAATCCATTATGTGATCAATTTATGTGCACGTCTCCTTTACCTTTTTCGAATTGAGTTGAATTGAAGATGAAGCCCACTTCATTACCTAAGAGATCAAGAGATCAAGTTTCCTCAAATGTTAGAAAACCTCTACATATAGGACTAAAGGACAGGGGTTGCCCGGTTGGAACAGTTCCAATTAGAAGAACTACTAAAGAAGATCTCATTACAGAGAAACTTGCTTCAAAAATAATGACTCCTGCAGATGACACCAGTGGTGCTGATGTAAGTTATCCTAGTCAATCAAGATTATATAGCTTCACAATATTAGTTTTGCACTATTGCTTGTTTTCTATATTTGGTTTTATTTGTTTCTATGAATCACCTTCTTGAATGAGCTGAACACACACATAAAACACTGTAGCCACATTTTTTGATCCTATAAATTGATTTTTGTCCTCATATTTTGAAGCTATATGTTTAGCCTCATCTTGTTGAAAGTTTTAGGCAAACTTTTGATAATAATTTTACTTGCAGATGTGATTGTTTACATGGCTTGAATCTGCACAACCACAAACACTAAACATTAAATCTTATAGTTAGGGCACAATGCCTTTTTTGAATGAAAAGAAAGGGAAAAAATCAACAAAAAAAAGTACGAGCATAGATATATATGTTTGTTGGGTTGGGTTTCCCTTGTATGTAGAAGATGGCCCAAATATTTGGTAAAGCCCATGTAAGTCTCAAGCCCACATGGAGAGATTGTGGTAGCGTTTGGTTTACTTTTCAAAACTTAAGTCTGTTTTAAAATCATGATTTGAATGCAACTTGTTAACCAAACATATTTTTAAAATACAACTCAAAATTACTTTCAAAACTCCTCGCTTTTCTTTTCTTTTATTATTAATCAATCAATTAATCAATCACTTTTTCTCTCTCATCTCACCTCTCACATTCTCTCACATTTTTTACATCAATCAATCAAAAAAAAAAAAATTACAAATCATCTCAAAACTATTTTTAAAACTCATAACTAAATAATTTTTTTTTTTTCAAATCATGATTCAAAAACTCAAAATTCAAAACATAACTTTACACTCAAATTACAATTATAAAATTAAACCAAACGGATAATGTTTTTTGTTTGGTTTTTGATTAACTCTGTCCAGCTTTGATCAAACAGTTCGATCATCCGATTGAGCTGAAATTTGAACAGTGGAGATCAGATTTGGAGCATTTTGAATTTGGTTTTCAGGCTCATGAGCAGTACCCTTTTTTTGTGAGATCTTTCCTAAATTTTGTAACTAGTTCTTTGGTTGCCAAGAAAACTTATTTGTAGTTGTTCTTGATTGTTTGCCTCTAATTCTAACTAGAGAGAACTCTTGTGCACCCATTATTCCACGTAAAAATTGCTTTTGCCTTTTTTATTTTTATTTTTATTTTTTGTTGATTGGCAAACTGCTCTTCCCTTGTTGTGTGATTTTTAGATTTATTATTTTCAGATTATATATATATATATATATATTGTGCTCTATTCAAATTGTTCCCTAATAGATTCACACAAAGAGGGAGAAAAATTACTTCTGCTATTTTGTGCTAGATTCGGGTATTTCGAATTGGCCTTTGGTTTTCTCCCAACAATATGGATATGTTTAGATTCTCACAGTAAGGGAAAACATAAAAGTAACACATATGTTTTGGACTTTTATTACCCAGTATGCCATAGTTGAGACAATAGATGGTCCAAACAAATACAGTGGAGCGTCAACGGTGCTTAGTGTACACCAACCAGATGTCGTGGGTAAACAATATAGTGCAGGGCGAATGATGATTCAAAATGGGCCTGATAGCTTACAAGTCGGGTGGAGGGTAAGTTGATCTTCTTGCTTCTTGTAAATTTAACTTCTTACTTATTTTAGAAACAATTTTCACAAGTAAAAACTAGCTTCACATAGACAAAAGCATTTGTTGTTATTATGCTTTTGGTTTGTCTCAGGTGGATCCATCTCTATTTGGTGATGCACGTCCTCGACTATTCATTAATACGAATGAAAGTATCATTGCTTTTTATTGCATATTACTTGATTGACTATATTTTCTTAGTAGCTCTTACAATATATTCGTATATGTTTGTCTACCAAATAGGCAAGTCAATCTCATTGTTTCAATACAAATTGTCTTGGATTTGTGATTGTGGACACAGAAATACCTCTTGGTGAAGTAATTGGAAAGGTCTCTATACGTGGAGGGACATCGATTGCGATGGAAATCTACATCTTGCAGGTAAAATTTAAAAACTCTTAATTATGAAACAAGTTCCCAAGTCATGCTACCATTGTGTCAAATAATTATTACACCAATAATTATGAAACAAAAATCATAATTAAGTAATTAGTGGTAAAGAAATTTTGATGTATTACATGTAACTTCAAGCCAAGGGCTTAATGTGTAAACGAGTTAGTACTCTTTTGTTGTAACCAAGTGTTAACTTGGAAAGCTGTAAGCCCGTAGGGCATTTTGTTTTGATGTTAACATGTAATACATATGTATATAGAACTCTAATGAATAAAAGAATGTGGTTGGGTTGTATGTAAGTGCATGTCTTATCTGATGGGTTAATGTTGTTATTTTGAGGGCGTTACATATTTAGTCCACCGGGCACCCAGAAACCTGCAATGGGGGGAGGTTATTTTCTAATTGAGGACACCAGATATGATGCATTCTTCATGAATATTGCACTTAAGAGTCCAAGTGGAGGGGATATAAATCCTCAAACATACGAGTTTACAAACAGTAGAAAACTATATGAAGTGAAAGATGAAGGATACCAGGGGGCTCACTTTGGGCATTTGGTACTATATGGGGGCCCTGGAGGTTCCTAGAAGGAGAACACAAATTTGATACTTTTAAAATTTCATTTTGGCATGGATTAATAATGTCAAACTGACCACCCTTGTCCTTCTATATATATATATAATTGCATGTGCTTTGCAAAACTTTTATTAACACTCAAATGCTATTGTTTATGCTTGGGGTGATGCACAATCCAACCTTTTTAGCTTTGCAAATTTTAATCTTCTTAACTGCAATGTCAAAATTTTGGATTATTCAACAGGACCTGCTTTGAACATTTATGGGTGCTAAGCCAATGTAATTGGAATTATCCACAATTAATTAATTAATTAATTAATTATTACCCACACAAAGATTGTTTGAATAAGATTACCAAAATTTGCTTACATAGATTAAGATCTTAGCAAATCATTATAAGAGCTCAAAAAGATGAAAATAAAATAACATAATTTGATTTTGTTATTTCATGGCTTAGCAAGACTCAATATACAATAAAGGGAAGAAAAAAAAACCAAATGAAAAATAAAGCCATTAATCAATCCAAATTAATCTAAATACAACAAAATATCACTTAAATATTACGTTTCTTACATTTTTAACAACAAAATTACTAACTAAGCTTATATAATCAAATTTATCTATCACATCATTTTCAATGAATAATTTAGTTAACTGCAATATAGATTTGTCCAATTAATAATTAAACATCAATCTCTTTTTTCTATTGCTTGGTAACTAGTTGAATTATTTTTTGAGGGGTCTTTGATTGTGGTTTGGGCTTTCCATTACGTGGGAATTTAAAATTAGAGCAATTAATAATTGTGAAAATTATAATGTAGTGGGATAATTATAAAATAATTACAATATAGATTGATTTTTATTTTTTATGTGCAGCAACACACAAATTAAAAAAAAAATATCATTGCAACAACAAAATTTTGGACAAAATCATATTATTCCTTCTGTCGACATATCAAAAATAACACTAAAAAATAAGAAAAGAAAACGGAAAACATAGTTCTACATGAATTAGATATGAATTTTTCAACCATAATCCTCTACATGCCATATGCATTTACTTTCCCACCCAAGGGCCAATATTTACCATATTCTAGTGTTCATTTTATACATTTTGAAAATTGGGAAATAGCACCAAAAAAAAAAAAAAATCTCAATGATACTATCAAAAAGGAGAGGATCAAGGATGGGCCCAGCCTAAAGGCCCAAAGAGAATACTATAAATACGGGATCACCCATCAAAGAAAGGTATCTGAGAACTATTACACTTTACTTAAAATACAAGTAATTGAGAGAGTAGAGACTGACTTGCCCGTCGGAGTGCTAATTCCGGCACCCCCGACCGGAGTGTTGATTCTTTTTTAGGTGGCTAGCTGAGGATCACGAGCGTCCCCTAGGATCAGAATAGTATTTCCAAACCACTTCTCCACAATTGGCGCCGTCTGTGGGAATACTCAAACACATCCATGGCGGGCGTAATGGAAGACCCTCCGATAGTCATTGATGAAACCACGCAGAGAGACGACCTCACTCCAACAAACATGCTTGGACCGGAGACTATCCCCGTAAGACGTTCTTTGAACTTCGCCTCACCCTCGACTTCGGAACATGAGGCAATGCAAGCGATCATGGAACAAGAAAAGCAAAACGAACCAAGGTTGGAGAATATGATCGCTAAAAACGAACGTCTCCGTTAGGATTTGGCCTTGGAGGTGGTGAAGTCTAAACAAGCTATACGCCAAGATCCAGAACGACCTGTGAGGGCAGGAGGTCGACGATCTCGAGCCCGACAACAAGACACTGATAGCGACTTTGACTCATTATCCTCGGAGCCCAAGAAGAAGGGACGATCTGAAACTTCTAGTTCCTCTGAAGAGAGTCCATGTATAAGGCATAAGCGCAGACGAAACAACTCAGATGAAGAAGACCGGCATGATCCCTTCGTACGACGGATTGCAAAGGCAGTGTTACCCAAGAAATTCAAAGCACCGTCATTCACCTTGTACGACGGTAAATCTGACCCCACCGATCATATCCGCCATTACAAGCAAGCCATGATGCTGCATGCAGATGATGAGGCTTTGATGTGTAGAATATTTCCAAGCAGCTTGGGACCACTAGCTGTCAGGTGGTATTATAAACTGAAGCCGGCATCGATTAAAAGCTTCCACCAACTTCAAAAATCCTTCAGGGCAAGGTTTATCACTAATGAGGTCCGGCCAAAGCAAGTCGATTCCCTTTGGGCAATACAGATTCAACCGGGGGAAACCCTTCGTGCCTACTCGGCGCGGTATTGGGAATGTTTCAATCTGGTAGATAATGCTTGTAATGACTCCATGGCCATCACCGCCTTCAAGATGGGGCTGCATCCCGACAGTGCCCTCCGCAGCTCCTTGACCAGACGGCCCCCCAAAATAGTTTGGTCGTTGATGAAGAAAGTTGAAGAATACTGCAAAGTGGAAGATGATGCCTTGAGGGTTAAAGCCGGAAATATGACCAACAAGACGGCTCTTGCTAAAATTGCTCAACCGTTAATTTCTGTAGCACCCCAGAGCCCTAAACCACGGCATCGGGCCAAATGGGACAAGAGACAGGATTCCCGCCGATCAAGCGAGCAATGCTCCCACCGAGAAAATGAACAACTGCAAGTTGACAGCAGGCACACGAGGTGTGCCGACAAGAAATATACGGAGTTGACAGAGCCCATTAGTGCGGTTATGTCCAAAATCCAACACCTTCTGTTCTTCAAATGGCCGTCGAAAATGGTGGGACCTCCCGACATGAGAAGACGGGATAGACGGTGTGAGTATCACAATGACCATGGCCATGATACTGATAGTTGTTATGCACTGAAGGATCTCTTGGAAGAATTAGTATAGGATGGCTGGCTACAACAGTACGTCCGGAAAGGCAACCCAACCAAAGCAATAGCCTTAAGACAGGATTCACCTCAACTTGGGGTGATCCACATGATATACAACCTGCCAATTTCATCCGCGGTGCATACGATTCAGTCGAATCCTGACCCTCAAAACCAACTCATTTCGGCTAAACGACCCCATGAAGCTGCAAGCATTTATTTTGATGATTCAGATCTGGCCTGTGTGACATTTCCCCACATCGATCCCTTGGTAATTGAGTTACGCGTAAACTGATTCACAGTTGAGTGCGTACTCATTGATCCGGGGAGCACATTAGAGATTATGTACTACAAGACATTCATCAAACTCGGCTTCTCCGAATCGGATCTCTCCCCGGCCCCTTATCTACTATTTGGCTTTAACACCAATCCAGAGTACCCGTTGGGGAAAATCACATTACCCATTCGAGCGGGCTCCCACACAATGGATGTAGAATTCTTGGTCGTCAAGCTGCCATCGCCGTACAATCTCATTATGGGGCGGACTTGGTTGCACACCATGCAAGCTGTGCCGAGTACGTATCATCAGCTGCTCCGCTTCTCGACAGAACGCAGTATTGAGCAAATCCGTGGCTCCCAGAAGTCGGCACAAGAATGTTATCTCCTTGCCGAAAAAATGCCAAAGTAGCTGTAGGTGAATTCTATTAAGGTGCCAGATCGAGAGAGCCTCGATGATGTTGGGCGGCTCCCAGATGAAAAGACCACATAAGGCTTAGACCGAGTTGAAATCGATGGAAGCCCAGACAAATTCTTCATGGTCGGCGCATCCCTGAGTCAGGCCGACAGACAGCATCTAATCTCTTTCCTATTTAGCAATCTCGATGTCTTTGCATGGACTCCATATGAGATGCCCGGTATAGATCCATCCATTTCACACCACTGTTTGAATATTGATCCTAAGTACAAGCTGATCATTCAGAAAAGCCGGCGGTCGGCCTCAGAGCACACTGCCGCCGTTGTTGAGGAAGTTAACAGGCTGCTTGACGTCGGGGCAATCAGGGAAGTGACCTACCTTACATGGCTCTTTAATACAGTGGTGGTGAAGAAGAAAAATGGGACTTGGCGAGTGTGCGTCGATTTCACGGACCTAAACACAGCTTGCCCCAAGGATTGTTTTCCCCTACCAAGAATTGACCAACTTGTAGATGCGACGGCACACCATCAATGTATGAGCTTCCTCGATGCTTCTAGAGGCTACCATCAAATCGCCATGCATCTAGAGGACCAGGACAAAACTGCATTCCTCACCCCAAGAGGAACCTACTGTTACAAGGTTATGCCTTTTGGGCTGAAGAATGCAGGGGCAACCTCCCAACGACTAGTCACCGCCATGTTCAAGGAACAACTTGGCCACACTATGGAAGTGTACATTGACGATATGGTGGTCAAGTCCAAGGAAGAGCAGAATCATATAACCAATCTGGAAAAGACATTCGGCATTCTACGTAAATATGAAATGAAGCTGAACGCTTCCAAATGTGCGTTTGGGATCGGCTCTGGCAAATTCTTGTGATACATTGTCAACCACCGAGGAATCGAAGCCAACCCAAGGCAAATCACAGCAATCCTAGAACTTCCTCCCCTCGATCGGTCAAGGAAGTTCAGAAGTTAATGGGGATGGCCGCCGCACTCAACAGGTTCATTAGTCGGTCCATAGATCGCTGCCGACAATTCTTTCATATACTATGGCACGGCAAAGCTTTTGAATGGTCCGTCGAATACGAAGCCACTTTCAACGGCCTCAAGACCTACCTCTGCTCAGTACCACTCTTGACAACACCTGCTGCTGGTGACCCGCTCATTTTGTATCTGGCAGATTTTGACAGGGCCATCAGCGCCGTACTGATAAAGGAAGAGCTTAGGGAGCAGCGGCCAGTGTATTATGTGAGCAAGGCAATGGTTGACGCTGAAACACACTACCTTTCACTAGAAAAACTCATCCTAGCCCTAGTCATGGCGGCAAGAAAGCTGATGCATTACTTCCAGGGACACAACATTGGGGTGCTAACAGATTATCCCCTCCGATTAGTACTACGAAGTGCTGAAGCATTGGGACGTGTTTCAAAGTGGGCTCTTGAACTCGGCCAGTAC